ATATATATATATATATACATTTTCCTTTAGTAGTACACTTCATGACTGCTCTTAAATTGTCACAAAACCACTTCATCTTTTTCCTTAAGGTGTGGATTGTGTACTTGTCAAATAAGGAGAAATTATTACATCGTGGCCTGGACAATATAGCTAACTGATATGAAAGTAAGAAGCTAAATAAAATTAATTGTTACAAATGAAAAGTTTTAGGGTACCTTTAGGATATTCTAAATTTTTTTGTTAGAAACTAACACATTTGTTGCGTATCAGCTAGCAATTGACGGGGTTATATAATAATTTTTCATTATTATAGACCATTATGGTACATTCTTTACCTAATAATATTGTTTCTTTCCTTTGTTGAGTTGTATGAAGTTATGGATGAGTTATGGATTTGACGGGTTGATTTGGAATAATTTACGCCATAACTTCTCAAGTTTCAACTCTAATATACATAGGCGCTACGACCAGGCACCATACTCCATCCTAAGGAAACACATAATTTATAAACATCTTTAAAGGCCAAAAAAAAAAAAAAATTGTCAAGATCGATCAATACTATTGTATATAGTGAACATACTTTTTGTGTAAGTGAACATACTTTTTGTATGAGTAGATTGTGTATGAGTGAACATACTTTTTGTTCTTTCACTTATTGCACCTACATTCACATCTTTGAATTTCGTAGATAAATTTAGTAACTTATTTCTCGAAATCGAAATTTCTGGTTAAACTCGTCATGCTGTTACTCTTTCTATGATTCGCATGAAAACAATGATATGAGGTATTATTTACTTGAGATATAAGATAATCAACACCAATTTTCTTCAATTTTTTGTTTATTTTTTATTCATGCTTGTGTACATTTGTCATTAACATTGATCAAAATTCATAGAACTTCACCACTTAAAATGGTGAATTTTACCAGTTTCATTGGTGATTAAGAATTGGCAAAATTTCATCATTATAGTGATAAAATTCAGTATTTAAAGTTATGAAATCTCAAAATAAATATGGTGATGTTGCACTACATGATACCACAACAAAAGTGTATGAGAAATGATTAAGGTTCTTCAAAAAGGAGAGATCCTAAGGAAACAAATAATTTATTTTTGGTTTCTTATTGTATATAGAATGTTCCATCTCAGATTTTCTTACATTTAATTGGCAGCTTTTAATAGTCACAATCATTTATATGCAGAATTATGGAGGAGATAGATTATGTAAGCTTAAGTAGTGAACCATCAAATAGTTGTGAAATTGATGATGATTGTTTTTCTCCTAGTAATGAATTTTCCTCAAAAAAAAGAAAATCAAGAAGAAGGAGATGAACCAAAACTTGGAATGGAGTTTAGTTCATGAGACAAAGCATATAAGTCGTACCTTAACTATGGTTGCAAACTTGGTTTCGATATAAGGAGAAATCATCAGAGAAAAAATATAGCGGGGCTTATCACGGGGGTTACCTTTTGTTGTTCAAAAGAAGGTAAAAGGAAAGAGACCAAAACTCCTTTGTACCATCAACCTATTACAAGAGTTAGTTGTTTGGCTCATATGAAATGTAGACTTCAAAACAATGGCAAATTCAAAGTTGTATCGTTGAACAAAATCCATAATCATGACTTAATTAGAATTCCAATGAAAAATATGATGAGAATTAATCGAAATATTTCAAAGGCTCAAAAAGAACATGCTGAAGATGTAGAGAAGTCAGGATTGCCACTAAAAGGAACTATGGAGTTGATGAGTAGAGAAGTTGGCGGCAGGGAACATCTTGGTTTTCTAGATAAGGATTACCGAAATTAGATACATAGAAAGCGAAAGATGGCAATGGTAAGAGGAGATGCAGGTGCAATTTTAGAATATTTTGAAAAAATGCAGCTGAAGGATTCATCATATTTTTGTTCAATGTAAGTGGATGAGGATGATATGATCACTAATATTTTTTGGGCCGATGCACGCTCAATTAATGATTATGGCCTATTCGGAGATGTTGTGTGCTTCGATAGTACTTATCGAACAAATGAATATGGTCGACCTTTTACACCATTTATTGGGGTGAATCATCATAAACAAACAATCGTGTTTGGTGTAGCCTTACTTTACGATGAAACCATTGAATCATTTAAGTGGATTTTTCAAACTTTCCTTGGTGTAATGTCCGGAAAGCAGCCTAAGACAATTCTAACAGATCAATCTGCTGCAATGGCAAAAGCAATATCGCTTGTCTTTTCTGAATCTCAACATCGATTATGTGTTTGGCATATTTATCAAAATGCAGCCAAGAATTTGAGTCATATGTTTAATAAATCAAACCACTTTGCTTATGACCTTAGTAATTGTGTGTATGATTATGAAGATGAAAATGAGTGGCTATTGGCATGGAATAGGATGCTGGAAAAATACAGTCTCGAAGAGAATAAATGGTTGAAAGAGTTATTTAAAATTAAAAAAAAAAAATGGGCAATGGTTTATGGACAACACACCTTCACCGCGGACATGAAAACTACCCAACATAGTGAAAGTATGAACAATGTGTTAAAGAATTACTTGAAGCCAAGTCATAATATTTTGCGTTTCTTTAAGCATTATGAGAGGGTTTTGAATGATCGGCGCTATGAAGAACTACTTGCAGATTTTAACATGATGCGAAGTAAGCCCGTGTTATTAACTAATGTGGAGATGTTACGTCATGGTGTAGAAATCTATACCCCTGAAGTGTTTGAATTGTTTCAGAAAGAGTACATGAGGTTGAATGATTACAATGTGTATAAAGTGGCAAAGGATGGGACAAAAGTTGAATACATAATATCTTGTGTTGGAAAATCTCAAAGGCATGTGGTCAATTTTGAAGCTTCAACAGAAAGAGTCATGTGTAGTTGTATGAAGTTCACTTTTATTGGAATTTTATGTGTTCATGCTTTGAAAGTGTTGGATAAGAAGAATATAAAAAGGATTCCGTCCCAATATATCATGAAAAGATGGACAAGAGGTGCGAAGGCAAGGACTTTCACCAATTATTATGGAATTGAAGCCAATGACAATCCTAAAGTGTCTATGGGAAAGCGTTATAGTCATTTGTGTCGAAATTTTCGTGAGATTTCATCTTTAGCATCAAAACATGAGAAGTTATATGTATATGCAAATGATCGTGCTCTTGTGTTGTTTAATGACTTGAAGGAATTGAAGAAAGAACTTTACTCAAATAATGTTAGTGGTGGCGAAAGTTCAGTTGGTCAAAATGAGGAAGTTAATACGATAGATCCACCAAAGAATTGTGTGCCAATAGGGGTTAAAAGAAAAGCCACAATCGGGCATCCACATAATCGATTAAAAGGTGCACTTGAAAAGCGAAGAAAAAACTCACATGCCAAAGATTTAACAAGACAACAAAAGACCCCTGAGGTATTATATAAAACTTTATAAATAATTTAAATTTTATAAATAAATTAAAGTGCGATTAGTGTTGTACTTAAATTTTTATTTATTTTGATATTATAGGAGCCTATTTTTTGTAGTTGGAACTCACAAGAGCAACAAGCTAGACATGATATTTTTACCCAGGTAATTCATTTCTTTTTGTATTATATTTCTTTACCTTGGTTTATGTTTTATTTTACGATTTTGTAATTATTGCTTAATTTATATTTGACAGGAATCTCAAATTGGCCTTGGAGTAGAGACGCCTTCCGCATCCCATTCAATGATGAACTATGATCATGAAAATTTTCAGGCAATCACAAATTGGCAACCCAATATGTTTTACACACGATTACTTCAGGTAATTATATTATCCTAACAAAATAATTGATAATGTTGCAAATTAATGATGTAGATTTATTTATTTAACTTTCTTATAATTTTAGTTTTCCAATCTTGTAGGAATCGCATTATGGCAACCTCTCACAAACTGCACAAGAAGGCAACCCGTTTGATAATTTTCCTCCAATCTAAGGCCTGTTTGGTGGAGCTTTTTGGGAATGCAAGGGGATTGTGTTACTTTTTGTTTTTATAACTAAAAAAAACTTGTTAGTCAATCCGAGGCTTGTTTGGTGGAGTTTTTGGGATGCTATGGATTGAATATTTTGTATCATATTTTGATTAATCACTCGGAGCTTTCATTGTCTGATTAATCCTATTTTCGGGATGGTATAGATTGAATATTTTGTATCATGTTTGGTTCATTATGGTATTGTGGTTTTTGTTGTGTTGCTGAGATGGTTGTTTTAGAGTACTACAGGGTTATCTTTATTGTTCTAGGGTTTTCTTTACAAGCTGAGGTTATGAATTCTCAGAACCTGACATGCAATTCAAATGATCTCAAGGCATTACGGGGTTTCTTGAAACGTCTGGAGTCAGAAATTGTTGGTTGGGACTTCAATTCATCAGCCCCCAATTGTTGTAATTGGGTAGGCATCACTTGCAATTCCTCGTCATCTCTCGGATTGAATGATGATCTTGTGGACTCCGGTAGGGTGGTGAAGTTGGATCTTGGAAAGCAGAGATTAACGGGTGAGCTCTCCGAATCATTAGGCCATTTGGACCAGCTCTAAACCTTCAATCTCTCTCACAATTTCCTCCGAGGCTCGCTTCCCATGTTGCTCTTACATTTGCCTAACTTAGAGGTGCTAGACTTGAACAACAATGAATTTTCTAGCCAGATTCCGACAAATATAAGCCTGCCTTCAATCCAACATCTTGACATGTCGGATAATTCTTTTAGTGGTTCGGTTCCTGTGGGTATTTGTGACAACTCACCCCGAATTCGGGTTATCTATGTTGCTATGAATTATTTCCAAAGTCATTTTCCAACAAGATTTGGCAATTGTAGTTCATTAGAGCATCTCTTCGTCGGTTCAAATTATCTCACTGGTGGTATACCAGAAGATGTATTTCAGCTACCAAATTTGGCGCGATTGAGTATTCAGGATAACATGCTTTACGGGGAGCTGAGCACGGGTATTGGTAACCTTTCTCAATTAAATCAACAGAGATTGGGATTTTAATAAAAATTAAACTGAAACCACAATTTGAAGTAAAAACATGGCAATTACATTGAAACCAAATATTTACAATCCCATGACAGAATCACAATTACAGCAATTCAAAACACGTAATTCTCTTTCATTGTAAAAGAGTTCTCTTTCATTGTAAAAAAGTTTTCAATTCAAGCGTGAAGTCGTTTTCAATATCACCTCTCCAATTTCAAACTCTATCTCTAGATTTCTTCATCTGTTTTCTCTCACTACATTTCGGAACAATTCAACTTCACTCTACAAATTACTCCACTCTTCCTCTCTCTACATTTGTTATTGAAAACTTTGATAGTGGCGACACCTGACGAAACTCTGGATTGGACCAATAGTGCTAAATTTGTTCTTTTGAGCTCTGTATCTGAATCACTCTGTTCACAGACCTCAAATCACTTTGAATCACTTGTTTCTCCTGAAGAACTGGTCCAATCCTCAACCTCCATTATATCAATTATTGACCATATAACTTTCATATCAACCATTTAAGAGCAAGCTAAAAATCATTGTAACCTGAAAATGGGAAACAGCAGTAAAATGTAAGTATCAAAAGGACTATTCAGGGCTACAAGAAAAATAAAACAAAAACACAGATTTTAACCATAATTTTTGAATAAGAGTATCAATTATTTTTTACCATTTGTGGTCATATCTATAGATCATAGGGCAAGTAATTGTAGCACCTTAAAATGAAAAGTGGACTAAGGATGAGGCGTAATAGCTATTAGCTAGCCACTTAGCATCTAGCAATTTTGAATTGTCCAATATCCAAAATACTCCCATACGGATTTTTGGAATTCCTACGATGCAATCAAAATTCAAACCATACGGATTTTTCATGAGAAATCAAAATTCAAACCAGTATCACTTAATGAAATCAAAATTCAAACCAGAATTTTTTCAAAAATCATTCTAATTGCATATCATTCATCATATATTAGTGGATTCAAATTTTTAGCGTTGCAAGTCCAAATTTAGTACAAACGTATACAAATATACAAATAGTATAGCATCACATATAAATCATTACGTGTATCTGCGTGTGTTTATATATATATATATATATAAAGAGAGAGAGAGAGAACTTACGCGTGGTAGAAAAATTGGGAGAGTTGCAGAGACAGATGGGAGGCCATAGAAGGAGAGAGAGAAAGAGAGAGAAGAGAGTTGTGACGGAGAGGAAAGTGAAAATGGGTTTGAGGCGGTCTGAGAAAGAAAATATTAGGTATTAAGAGTGATGGGCAAGTTCAGGCTTTATTATTATTTTAATATTAAACACCTGTCATAATCTCATTGGACCACGTCAGCGTGGACAGGTTCATCCTCGCCCGCAGGATGCAAGCATGAGGTTCATCCTCCGCCCGCAGGATGCAAGCATTGACCGGTCTATATATTTACGTGGACAAAAGTCCTATCTGATCTTATCATTTTTTGTGGAAAAATCTGACAGGACTTTTTCCAAGTCGTCCAAGTCTTCGTCCCATTGGCCCAAGCAAAGGACCTACATTGTTTAATGGCCACGAACATTATTTCTAATGGCCCACACATGCTGCTAGTTGACTTCAACCAATATTTAAAAGATCATGTTCCAATATTGAAAAATCAAGAAGAGTACTGCAAGGCAGAGTACAGAAGTATAGTAATACTACCGCAAATATCATGTTCCAATTTCATTTCTTACAAACCTATCTTTCTAATATTTTTTTCAAACACACACACACACATATATATATATATATATATAAGGACCTCCTAGCATTGGTGCCGCTAAGCATTTACTGAACAATTTTTATTTATTTATTTACTGAAACAAGTTTTTTTTTTTTTTTTTTTTTAATGGTGCATTCACTGAATGCAATTTTTTTTTAATGAAGAAGAGTACTGCAAGGCAGAGTACAAAAGTATAGTAATACTACCGCAAATATCATGTTCCAATTTCATTTCTTACAAACCTACCTTTCTAATTTTTTTTCAAACACACACACACACACATATATATATAAGGAGCTCCTAGTATTGGTGCCGCTAAGCATTTACTGAAACAAGTTCTTTTTGTTTTTTTTTTTTTTTAATGGTTCATTCGGTGAACAAGTCTTTTTTTTTTAAAAAAAAAAAAAAAAAAAAAAGTGCATTCAGTGAACAAGTTGCTTGAAGGAATTGCGTTAGCTGGAATTGGAAAAATGAGATAATCGTAGATTATTATTTGAGGAGTATTGTGTTTGGGAATGCTCCTTGTAGCTAGTTGTATTTTCTCTTCAAATAATATCTCACTTACCGAAAAAATAATAATAATAAAGTAAAAAGGAGAGAAGCAAGAGCCAAGGTGGTCCAAACCCATCAAAACTTTCTTAAAGTCCCATTTTCTAGAAGAACTTGTTAGCTAGCCCAATCACATATGCAGCCAAGTGAGCATAGCCAATCACATTTTCATCATTCTAGTAAAAATTTGCAACCAAGTTTCACAGCGATTTCTTTTCTCCTGAGCTACCATCTTCTTTTTGTTGGAAAATCTGCCAGAGACTTTTACTAGTCTTCTTAATCTTCTATTTTTTTGGGCTCGACTTAAATAACCCACTCGTTTGGCTGCTCTCTCTCTCCCACCCTTAGCTTGAAATACAATCTCTTTGATTTTGTCCACATCAACCCAAAAAAAATCATGTAACTTTCTCATCTTAAAATCATCAGCATCATCCTCCTCTATCTCGTCCACCATCTTTTATTTATCAGAGCAGGTGAATTGCCTGTTCAATATTACCCAGTAGATGACATCACCGTTAATTGTGGCTCAGCTGGTATTTCTTCTGCTTTAGATGGCCGGGAATGGATCGGAGATATGGGGGGTTCAAAATTCACTTCTCTAAAGGAAGCAATAAGCTCATCAACAATTGTTCACCAATCACTTTTTGCCGATCATGTTCCCTACGTGACCGCTCGGACCTCTCGTGCTCAGTTCACCTATACATTTCAGCTCACACCTGGTCAAAAATTCATTCGCCTACACTATCATACCCTGGTTTTGAAAGATCCAAGGCATTTTTCACTGTTAAAGCAGGTCCATACACCCTCCTTACCAAATTCAGCGCTTCCCTTACTGCTGATATTTTGGGTGTAAGATATTTTGCAAAAGAATTTTGTGTCATCATTGAAAAAAATCAAGTATTCAGCATTACATGTTCTCCGTCTAAAAGTAGTGCAATTGATGATGTTTATGCTTTTATCAACGGCATTGAGATCGTCTCCATGCCCACTGCTCTTTATTACACTCCCCATGGTGATTTGGGTGCCAATCTTGTTGGCAACAAGTTCCGATTCTATATTGACAATGATACAGCACTAGAGATGGTTCATCGGTTAAATGTCGGAGGGAGATCCATTTTGTCGGTAGAAGATTTGGGCATGTTCCATATGTGGTTGGACGACAAGAATTACTTCTTACAATCAAGTCTTTTACGAGTCAGTACAAGAAATATGATCACATACACAAACATACCCACATACACTGCTCCATCTAGAGTTTATCAGACAGCTTGGGCAATAGGTTCAAACCAACAAACGAACCAAGTGTTCAACTTTACATGGAAATTACTAGTAGATTTGGGATTTAGATATCTGGTTAGGCTCCATTTCTGTGAGCTTGAATTTGCGATCGGCCAAAAACAGTTTAATTTGCTGATTAATAATAAGATCATCGAAACTGATGCAGATGTGATCAAGTGGAGCAGTGGAAATGGAATTGCAGTATACAAAGACTGTGGTAATGATGGAAGGAGACCGATTACAGTACCGACGTGATCTAATCATAACTTTGCAGCTTAAGTATGAATCAATCACTAAAAACATTGATGTAGTTCTAAAGGGTATAGAGATATTTAAGTTGAGCAACCCGGACAACAATCTCGCCAGCGTTAAATCCTATTTCAACCACACATGCTCCCATATCCGGAATCCCATCTCTCCAAAGATTAGTTTTGGCTTTTGGTACCATGAATGTGATTGTAACAGGTGCAATACTTGTACTCACCGCATTGAATTTCATAGCTTACCATTTAAACATTTCGGTATCAAACTCTAGCAAATTAAAAATCTCATCAAAATCGGATGTGGATGAGGATGAGGATGAGGATGAGGAGTTATGCCGATGCTTTTCACTTGTTGAGATTCAATTGGCTACCAACAACTTTGATGATGCACTTGTCATCGGTGAAGGTGGATTTGGTAATGTGTTCAAAGGGTTCATTGATGGTGGAATCAAGCCGGTCGCCATAAAACGGTTGCATTCCGAGTCAGGCCAAGGTGTTCGGGAGTTTCGGGCAGAGATTGACGTGCTTTCCAAGCTCCGACATAATCATTTAGTTTCTCTTATCGGCTACTGCGACAAATCTCAGGAGATGATTTTGGTGTACGAGTACATGGCCCATGGGACCCTTGATGATCATCTCCACAAAACTAGTAGAAATGGTAATGGTAACTCTCCTCTTTCGTGGATGCAACGACTCAAGATCTGTATTGATGCTGCGCATGGGTTGGACTTCTTACATACGGGTAGCGGTGCACAAAATGAAATCATACACCGCGACGTAAAGAGCTGTAACATTTTGTTGGATGAAAATTGGTTAGCCAAGATTTCAGATTTTGGTTTGTCCAGATTCACAAGCCTGTCGTGCAGCCACATTAGTGCAAATGGGCACATTCGGGTATTTGGATCCAGAGTATTTCAAGACTCAAAGACAGACTAAGAAATCAGATGTGTACGCATTTGGTGTGGTATTGTTCGAAGTGTTATGTGGGAGGCCGGCTGTGGATTTAACAGTTGAGGAAGAGCAGCATAGTCTAGTCCTGTGGGCTAAAAAGTGCATCAGAAGAGGAACACTTGATCAGCTAGTTGATTCGAGTGTGAATGACCAAATCTCAGCTCATTGTTTAAGAGTATTTGCGGAAATTGCCAACAAATGCTTGCATGATCGTCCGAATGAACGTCCTACAATGGCTGAAATAGCGGCAAGACTAGAATCAATTGCATTACAATCGCAGCAGGGGAAGGCCGAGTCTTATGCAGAGCAAGAGGTTTTCGATTTTGGTGGGACAAGCAATGAGAACAACATTGATTGGACGAGTATTACATCGGGGGATTCTACCTCAACGTCCGGGCAATTCAGTATTCTTCCTATCGATGAAATAAATAAACGGTCAGTGGTGGCGGATGGTATTTTACCAGCTGGAACACATGGGAAAAATGTGAAAGGTGGGAAAAAGAGGGTGGATTATGGTTCTAATCAGGGAGGACCATTGTTATCAGGGTGGCGGTTATGGGACTCGCTTTGGCAAAGGAGACCTTCGTCATCAACAACAAAAGCTTATTCACTGGAACTGCAGGAATCCGCTGATTGGAGAATCTGGTAATCAACTACTGCTCTTTTTAGGTTGAAAATAAATAAATTAATATATAATAATAATAATAATATATCTTAATTTTAAGAAAGTGAGAACATTAAACACATATATATATATACACACACAGTTTGAGAAGGCTTTTCTATTTTCTTTTCATTTCAACGACTTGTAGGCACTTAACAGTTGTGTTAGAATGAGTAAATAAGTTTTAGAAGAGGAAAAGACTTGTAATTTCTCAGGTTGGGTCATCAATCAAGAAATAAAAATCGAAAAGATGAAAATTTACTTCAAGAATTTTTTTTTGGAGAGAGTTTTGGGGCTAAATTTATATTAAGGAGAGTGCACTTCCTTTGTAAGCTTCATTATTCGAAAATGCTTTTTTCGGGAATGAAGATAAATACTTCAATACCAAAGTTCATTAATAATTGGAAGTACCATTCATTCATTTCCGTGATCAACTATAAACTTCTATTTTGTGCAGAAAAATGCGGCACGGCCATCAGTGCCCCAATTTGGGGATTGGGACCAAGAGGGAACATTGCCCGACTACTCTCTAGTCTTCGAAAAAAATAAGAGAAATAAGGAAGCGAAACAAGAGGGATGTGACGGAAGCTGAAAAATAAATGAAGGATTATAATTTAGCAAAAATTTCAAACTCAAAAGAGTTGCAATAGTTCTTTCTCAATTATTCATTTAAAGACATGTTTATAAATAGAGCCCTGATACATCTTCCGACCCCAAGCACTGAAAAATCATCCGAATCAGACTTGGCATGCCACGACATCTCACAAATCATGCCACGACACACCTTTACTTTCTCTTTCTGAAAGACCCGACAGCCAAAAAAAAAAAAAAACTCATCTCTTTCTCAATTTATTTACATAGTGATAGTAAATGTGAGGAATCCGATTGAAAATTCAATTTGATGATGGTGGTGGTTGAAGATGACAAATGGGTTAGAGAGAGAGAGAGGCGAGACAAATGGGTTTATAGAGAAGAAAGGTACAGGCGATTCATTGCCGCCGCTCCTAGCATCGCCGCCAAACTGGGAGCCAAAGGAAGGTGCAGGGGCGTCGAACAAAAGGCCGGTGCCGGTGGACAAGGACGGAAGAAACAGAGAGAACACCGGCGAAGGTGAGCAACGGAACTAAACCGGAACTCCGGCGAACAAGGATCTCAGCGACACGGATGAAGGCTCGAATGAGGGCGACGGCAGAGATGGACGGCCAATAATAAGACTTGAACACCAATAATTAAACAACCGAAATATCATCTCCTCCCACCAAAAATACACAGAGAGGGTATGAGAAAGAGAAGGATTAGAGATCATGAATATCGTACCCCAATCATCATCAAATTAAGAATTTCATCTCTCAATTGCTTGGAGGCGTGCCGCCGGAAACTTCGTCGCTTCAAATTATTCCCGATGACGACACCGCCACAACAGATCCAACCAAGTGACCTCCTTTGCCTTTGCCGTCGACATCACAGGCCAAGCCATCGCTGGATCGGAGGTCTTTGGCTCCTACGGGCACTTAATCACGGTTGTTAGTCCAATTTCCTCCTTTATTGAAGTCAATCCGGAGCTTTAGTAACAAAATGGACCCTCGGATGGAAGGCACCGAGTAGAGAAATGAAGAACAATGGAAGAAACAGAGGAAGGGGATTCGTGGAGAGAGAATGAGAGAGAGAAAGAGCTCTGTGTTTTTGGGGTCTGACGTGGCCTATCCACGTTGGATTCAAAGGATATGTCGGTAGATTGGGTCGGAAGTTGTATCATTATCATTTTTCTTATAAATATATATAGACATATCTTGTACAGGCTTCTTCAAACAAAGCCGTCCTATGAATTGCAAAAATCTTACTTTTGTTCTGCACTATAATTCGAACATTCATTTTGTTCTCTTTGCCTGATCGGGCAGTTGGTCGGAAAGGGAATGCTCCTGGGAGGTTTAATCCCTATCCCCTTCTGTGTGTGCTCCAAATTTAGAAACTGCAAACATCCCCGAATTGGTTGTTGAAAGCATTACCATCTTGACAAACTGTATTCATATGTTAACTATAAACTTAGGCGTTCATTTGAATTAATTAATGAATTGATAAAATATTAACAATCAGGAGCTGTAGGAAAGGTTGAGGTAGAAGGTGCGTGAGTTTGTTGTAAGGTAAAAAAAAAAATTAAAAAATAAATAGGATTAAAAAGAAAAAAAAAAAAATATATATATATATATATATATCACATGAATATATCCAAAAATATATAATTTAGTTATCTATATATGCGACTTAGCTTTCCCATTTCAAAGAATGGAGAGTTCAGTTCCGTTCAAGCACATTATAAGAGTTTATTTGCCAAGTTAGTTTGTTTACCCATGACCACAAAATAGTTAACTTTTGATAAAGTTGTATTTATTTGTAAAATAGACCATAGGTGGATTGATGATTTAGGACTTGGTAATCTATGAATATACAGAAACCCTGGTGCACCATGGGATAGTGGTCAGTCAATGGCTTAATATCAAACTACTTCTACGGAAAAGACAATCAAAGTGGTCCTCATTTTCAAAGCAAGTGGTCTAAAGTTCCACAGTGCTGCCAAAAGACTAGTATGCATGATGATCTGGTTATTTTCCAAGTCGTCCGAGTCTTCGTTCCATTGGGCCAAGCAAGGACCTACATTGTTTAATGGCTTACCAACATTATTTCTAAAGGGAGATGTACATATAAATTGGGTTGTTCAATATTGTTTGTTGTCACATACTGGTAGCTCACTTCAATCAATATTGAAAAGAATAGATATTCTATAAGATTTCATCTAGAAATGATATTGGAATTCCACTTGCTCTTTTGTAAATGAAATGACATAATTAGAAGTATTCAACACTACATTTATTCTAAAATACAACAGTACAGTAGTAGTGCATATATCATGTCCAAATTTCATTTCTTACAAACCTATCTTTCTAATTTTTCCAATTAATAACTAGGAAAACTTCTTTCTAATCTTTCTAAAATACATATAAAAAAATAAAAACTTCTGCCCAAACTAGACTGTCTGTCATTTGCAATGAAGCTCAGAAATACACCTCCGTCTAGAAGGTGCCGAGTACCTTCTTTTTCATAGCGATACCAAAGAAGACTCTTTTGTAAACTACCTTGTTCTTTTTGGTGGAAAATCTGCCATTGACTTTTACAAATCTTCTTAATCATCTATTTTTTGGGGCTAGACTTTAACAACCCACTCGTTTGGCTGTTCTTTCTCTCCCCACCCAACTGTGAGGAATACAATCTCTTTGATTCTGTCCAGAGCACCAAAAAAAACCATGTACCTTTCTCATCTTAGAATCATCAGCACCTTCTACCTTGTCCACCATCTTTTATTCACTGGAGCAGGTGAGTTGCTTACCCAATATTACCCAGAAGATGACATTGCCGTTAACTGTGGCTCCACTGGTATTTCTTCTGCTTTAGATGGCCGGGAATGGATCGGAGATGTGGGTTCAAAATTCACTTCCCCAAAAGAGGAAAAAGGCAAATCAATAAGCTCATCAATTGTTCACCAATCACTTTTTGCCGATCATGTTCCCTACATGACTGCTCGGATCTCTCGTGCTCAATTCACCTATACATTTCAACTCAGACCAGGTCAAAAATTCATTCGCCTACACTTTTTTCCAGCTTTATACCCTGGTTTTGAAAGATCTAAGGCCCTTATCACTGTTACAGCAGGTCCATACACCCTCCTTAGCAATTTCAGCGCTTCCCTTACTGCTAATGTTTTAGGTGTAAGATATTTTGCAAAAGAATTTTGTGTCAACATTGAAAACAATCAAGTTTTTAGCATAACATTCTCTCCATTTAAAAGTAGTGCAAGTGATGATGTTTATGCTTTTATCAATGGAATTGAGATTGTCTCCATGCCCGCCGGTCTTTATTACACTCCAGCTGGTGATTTGGGAACCCATGTCGTTGGCAACGAGTTTCGATTCTATATTGATAACGGCACTGCACTAGAGATGATTCACCGCTTAAATGTTGGAGGGAGATCCATTTTGTCTGTAGAAGATTTGGGCATGTTTCGTATGTGGTATGGGGATAAGAAATACTTATTACAATCAAGTTATTTACAAGTCAGTGCGAGCAATATGATCACATACACAAACATACCCACATATTCTGCACCACTTAAAGTTTATCAAACAGCTTGGTCAATAGGTTCGAACCAACAAACGAACCAAGTGTACAACTTCACATGGAAATTACCAATAGATTTGGGATTCAGATATCTGGTTAGGCTCCATTTCTGTGAGCTTGAGCCCATCACAACTGAGACCAGTAAGAAACGGTTTGATCTGATGATAAACAATAAGATCATTGAGGCTGATGCAGATGTGATCAAATGGAGCGGTGGACATGGTGTTGCAGTATACAAGGACTATATGGTTATGATGGAAGGAGACAGAATGAAGAGTGGGCGTGATCTAATCATAGCTCTGCAGCTCAAGTATGAGTCAAGCACTAAAAAGTTTGATGCAATTCTCAAAGGTATCGAAATATTTAAGTTGAGCAACCCCGACAACAATCTCGCCAGTGTTAATCCTGTTTTCATAGCACATGCTCCAATATCTGGGACTCCAAAACTCCAAAAATTAGTTTTACCTCTTGGCAGTATAAATATGACTGCAACAGGTATAATTCTTGTACTCACTCTATTGAACTTCATTGTTTACCATTTAAATCGTTTGGAATCAAACTCTAGCAAAATAAGTGTCTCATCATCATTGGATGAGGAGTTGCAACGACGCTTCTCACTTGTTGAGATCCAGTTGGCCACCCACAACTTTGATGATGGATTAGTCATCGGTAGAGGTGGGTTTGGTAATGTGTACAAAGGGCTCATAAACATGACCAGGACTGTTGCCATAAAGCGGTTGAATTCACAATCCAAACAAGGGGCTCACGAGTTTTGGGCTGAGATCAACACCCTTTCGAAGCTTCGACATAATCATCTCGTCTCTCTGATTGGCTACTGTGATGATTGTGAGGAGATGATCCTGGTCTACGAGTACATGGTCCATGGGACCCTTGCTGACCATCTCCACAAAGCTAGCAGAAATGGTAGTAATAAGTCTACTCTTTCCTGGGAACAACGACTCAACGTCTGTATTGGTGCTGCACGTGGGTTGGACTTCCTGCATAGGAGTAGCAGTGCCCACCATGGAATCATACACCGTGATGTGAAGAGTTCAAACATTTTGTTGGATGAAAATTGGGTAGCAAAGATTTCTGATTTTGGGTTGTCCAAAATGGACACTGCAAACATATCGCGCACCCACATGAGCACCAAAGTTAAAGGAACATTTGGGTATCTGGATCCAGAGTATTTGTTGACTGAAAGATTGACTAAGAAATCAGATGTGTATGGATTTGGTGTGGTATTGTTTGAAGTGCTGTGTGGTAGACGGGCTGTAGATTTAACACTAGAGGAGGAAGAGCATAGTCTAGCTCTATGGGCCCAAAAATGCATCCGAAAAGGAACAATTGATCAGCTCGTTGATTCCAATGTGAAGGAGCAAATCTCATCTCATTGTTTAAGAGGGTTTGCAGAAATTGCCAACAAATGCTTGCATGATCAACCAAATAAACGGCCTACAATGGCTGAAATAGTGGCAAATTTAACTACATTGGAGTTGCAGGGGAGGGCTGATTCTCAAGGGACTTGCATCGAGGAACAGGATATCGATGTTGGTGAGATTAGTATCGAGCACACTGAATGGAGTATTATGTCAAATGGTTCTCCCTCAACGTCTGGGCATTACAGTATGTCTCCTATCGAGGTAATAAATGAAAGCAAGGAGGCGAAGAGTATGTCACCTGGAACAAATAAAAATATGGAACTTGGGACAAAGAAGAAGGATTATAGTTCTAATAACGGACCCTCTTGGGGTCGGCAGTTGTGGGGCTTGCTTTGGAATAGACCAAGACTTTTAAAGAAAAAAGGTAATCATCCACTGGCAAAGGTACATTGTCGTCGCTTTTCACTGCTAGAGATTCAAGCCGCCACGAATAATTTCGATGATTGCTTCCTAATAAAAAATGATGACTATGGTAAGGTTTACCAGGGTGATATCCAAAAAATTGGGAAGGTTACTATCGAACGGCACTTGAACAGAAATAATTTGTCTCTCAGGATGGAGCTGGTGCAGTCCCATCTTCGATGCATCAACGTGGTATCCTTGGTTGGGTACTGCTATGATGAGCTTGAGATGATCCTGGTGTATGAATACATGGCCAACAAGACACTATCAGATTGTCTCCACAATACAATCAATAATCCTCTGTCATGGAAGCAGAGGCTTCAAATCTGCATTGGTGCTGCACGAGGACTGAACTACCTTCATACAGGTGTGGTGCAGACAAATATCCATGGTGGTGTGACCAAATTTGTGGAGCGGACAATTATCCATCGTGACGTGAAGTCATCCAATATTCTCTTGGATCAAAACTGGGTTGCAAAGATTGCAGGTTTCGGGTCGTCTTTGTTTGTTTCCAAGTACCAAATGTTCATCACCACAAAAGTTGCGGGCACACCAGGCTATGTAGATCCAGAGTATCTTCTTACTTCCCTTTTTTCCATAAAATCTGATGTTTACTCTTTTGGCGTGGTGTTGCTTGAAGTGTTGTGCGCGAGGAAAGCAGTAGTATCTATGGAAGTCTGGAATGAGTGGAGGAATCTAAGCAAGTGGGCCTTAGATTGCATAGAAGCAGGGTCGGTTGAACAGATCATTGATCCATATCTGATCGGGAATGTATCGACTACGTCTTTAAACGAGTTTGTGGAGATTGCTAGGAAATGCTTGCTTCCCAGAGGGAGTGAACGCCCTTCAATGACTGATGTTGTGCGTGCACTCGAGCTTGCTCTGGAACTGCAGGAAACTGCTGATGTTGCATTGGAGAATGAGGTAATCAACTACTCTCTTTCTATGTATATATTTTTTTGATAAGTATAAAACTATGGGATTGACCAGATGGCTTTTGATTTAATAAAAGAATTCTTTCAATCTAGTAAAAATACTATGTATAGTTCACCACAACTACATGTTTGATATCATTGCTGTAGCAATGTATGGTCTGGGACTCGGGGCTTGTATTCGCATATCTTGTCATGTTTCAAAGATCACCAAGTAGATTGATATAGACTAATATGGTTGCATGCTGGGAGTATTTGGGTCCAAATACGTGGATTCTCCAACTTGTACATCATCTTATTCCTTCCGAGTTCTTGTTAGCACTTTGTAAATATTTTACTTTTATTTGATAGTATTCTGAACTGGCCGTAAAGTAATCCCTGCAGTTTCCAACAATTGATATACACACCAAAAATTTTATGGATATATATATAAAAAAAAAATTCTATACATCTTCCTCAACTACAAGTATAAAAATTTAAAGTATCCTTCTATTTAGTGTTTTTCGCTCATCTTTATGGTAGGGACTAGTAGAACACATCAATTATAGTTCACATGAGTTAATCTCATCAGAGTGATATACTAACTTCATTCATCATTCTTCATCATCTTTGCAGGACATGGAGCTCTCTGGCTCACGCTGAATAACTTGTGTTCCTGTAATACTTAATATATATTGGATAACATCTTTTAGGGTGGATTGGTATGGTATTTTTGGAAATTATTATGTGATTTCAATTGTGGGTGTTGGATTGAGACAATTTGTAATGTTTGGTTTGGTGCTATGAATGTGTTTTTGGATAAATTGGCTTATGCTCTTGCTGTGCTATTGGAAATTCAGTATCAGGGAATGCAGTTAGATTAGTTTTCTTAATGCTTATGTGAACTGTAGTTTGGGAATGTCTTGCAAGATTATCAAAAAAGCTCTAGGAGAAAGCTTGAAGCTACTATTAGAGACCCTTTCTTGGGTTTTGCCTTACTATATCTATTGAGATGAATGGTTGAGTTTTGATTTTCAGATTCTTTAGCGAGAGAGAAGTGAAAATTTTATTAAGGTTCTGTTATTTGCACAGATACCTTTCTGGATCCTTTAGTCACCAACATTTTAGATTCAATGTATTTAACACCTTAACCAGGTAGGGCTTCAAAGTTGTAGACATGTTCAAATTTAGCTATGGTGTCTTTTTAGACTCAAACTGCATTGGAATAGACATAACTTTCAGTAGACATCTGTATTCAATTAACTAACAAAAGATTTTTTTTTTTTATGGTACTAACAAAAGATTTTCATTGCCACAAATGCTTGCACGGGCAACCGAATGAACGGCCTACAATGGCTGAAGTGGTCAAAAGACTCAAATTAATTATATTGGAGTTGCAGGGGAGCGTCGACTCTTATACAGCCGAATTTCATATGATTTGTTGAAATAATTAATTTTCAGGAATATTATACGATGAAATTTTGGTACAAATAGCATTTTGATCCTAAGGTAATTTTTGTTAAAGAATTGGAACTTATCTAAGCTAAGAAATGGCAATAAGAAAGTCATCCATGACTTTAAATGGTGAAGAAATTTTTTCCATGACTAATTTTGAATGGAAAGCTCAAACACGCTTCAATTCCCTGTCTTGAGGGTTCTTAGAGGAGTGCTACAAAAGGTCATATAACTGTTTTCCCATCATCGGTCTCGCCATGTATATATTTTTAACCTAAAAAATGCTTAGGTATTAAACAGATAGCATAGAGCCTGTGAGGGTACCCAGAAATTGGCTGTTAAAACCCATTCCAACTTCATGAACAATCTATTAGACTAACCTTTTTAATCCATAAAAAATTTAAAATATTCAATCAGTCAATTAAATTGAAGTGTTTACCTAATTTATTTCAAATGCTACTCTCCTCAAGTGGCAATTATCACACACCAAGCCTATGACTAAAATGTTCCCTGGTGAAAAAATTTGTTCTGATGGACAAATTATAACATAACCCTGAAGATTTGTTGGTCAATCTTTGATTCACAGTTCAAAGATCCAAACAAAGTAAATTTATTACCTTTTGTTTTCCATCGAGTACTAAAACCTTTATTAGTGATTTTTATCACCGAGGATTTAAATTTTTTTATCAAAAAATTGTTAAATAGTAGCATTTTCATTTGGCAGAAACAACCTCAAATTGTGTATGTAGTATGTACTTCATTTGACTCACCACTAAACCACAAAAAATGTAGTATATATGAAAAACCTGTTTCTTAATCTATTCCTGTAGATGCATTACTAGTAACCTTAAACAATATATTATTAAGGAATAAGTAAAGCACGGAATGAAGATTTCAAAGCAAAGCATGAAATGAAAAGTAATATGCAAGTAAGAATTAAAAGGGGGAGAAAGAGGCAAGCAGGACCATTTTATTTAATATACTAACCTATCTTTCAAATTTCTCCAGTAAATAAGCATTCAGTGAACAAGTTGCTTCAAGGAATTGATCAGCTGCATGTTAAATTGGATTTTTGGAAGCTCATTTCCAGACCTAAAACTCAAGGGCGTTTAGGCACTTCAAAAATTGGAACCCTAATTCGACAAGAATTCTAACAAGTCAATATTGGCAAAGTAGATTAGAACGTACCTCATCAACAACCGAAGCTTCTGAGATGTTCGAATTCCCCATAGATCTGCTAGGGCTTGGAACTGAAGAAAGACTTTAAACCTAGAGCTTCTGCTAAGGCTTTGTTTGGAAGGAGAAGTATCAAAGCAATGTACAACCAGAATTCCCTTGATTGTTAAGGGCGGAATTGTTTCGTTTTTAGGATTTCTTTGATGCTATTCTATTGGTTTTAAGAGAGAAAATAATAAACTTCACGAATTACCTTATTGACCGATGCAACTAAGAAGAATTGATTTAAGTATCTTGAAAAGAATTTTATAATTTTTGAAAGTTAATAAGAATTTTTGTTGGGCTTTTATCCATTAATGTAAATTCAAAAATAGTTCTATTTTAAGAGTTCTCTTTGTAAAATGTAGTTGACAAATAATTTGTAAGTTTTTCTTGATGTTGTATGATCATAGGATGCATTTGCATATGCATATTTAGTTCTTAAATTTTGAAAAAATCTCAATTTACAATTACCATTTAAAATTAAACTTTTAGAAATTTCAATACTCAATTTTACCATGAAGTACCTGTTCTTCTCATAAACTTAAAGTTCTTAAGAATTTTTGTTGTATTTTATTTATTGATGTAATTACAAAAATAGTACTCTTTTAAGAGTTCTCTTTGTAAAATGGAGTTGACGAATAATTTGTAAGATCATCTCACCATTGTGTACATATATATTTTGTAAATATGATGTGATTTACACAAAAAAAAAAAATGTGAACTACTTATTTTGAAGTCCGGCCTGCAGCCATTATATTATATTGTGTAAAAATATATCTATTAATAACAAATAACCACGTATTATGCCCAAAACTCTACATCACTTTTATAAACCTTAGAATGAGAAATAGAGAGGAAAGAGAAAATATGCTATGTATTGTGTAAAAAAGTTGTGTAAAATTACACAATAATTTTACAAATTAATATAGTGACAATGTATTTTAACATATTGCTAGAGATAAAAACAAGTTTTATAAATTATGTATATGTTACACAAAGGGTTTAACACATTGTTAAAGATGCTCTAAGTTTTCCTTTTGTGCAATCATTGAATACATATGCATATACATATTTAGTACCTAAAATTTGAAAAAATCTCAATTTACCATTAACATTTAAAATTTAGCTTTTAGAAATTTCAATACTCAATTTTACTTCGAAGTACCACCGAACCTATTCTTCTCATAAACTTAATGTTCGTAAAAGTTCTGTTCGCCGCCTTTTAAAAAAAAAAAAAAAAAAAAGAAAAGAAAAAAAAAGAGTTAATTGCGCGGATACCTCTGCAAGTTTTGGTCTATTCTTCTCAACAACTCATCAACGAAATTATGAACAATGACACCCCTTGAAAATTCAAATGACATATTTGCCCTTTACTATTTTATTCCATTAATTCAGAAAGTATTTGACAAATGACTAAACTATCTCTCATCAATTTGTGTTAGAAATATAACATATACAATTAACATAGGGGAGCAAGGTGTGCCAGTTCTGTCAACAACCTCCAAGAGTCGTATCTTTCCCGGCAGCTATGATCAGATAAGCTTTTTTCTTCGCATATTCATAAATCAATTGTTGAAATTTTAAATTAATTTGATGGTATATATTCATAAGCCATCACCACCACCATCGACCGCCTTTTATGTCTCCGCTCACCACCGCAACATTCACCGCACAATCACCACCTACCATTGTTGATTCGTTCTCACCACCAACCACCACCTGCCACCTCTAACCGCCATAACTAAATCCACCATCCGCCCCTAACTTTCTTTCATTCTCTCTCCACTCACCACCGCAACATCGACCCTACAACCACCACCCACCATCGCCACCCGTTTTCCCCACTAACCACCACCACCACCAGAGGCAGCTCAATATAATTTGAGGTCTTAAGCGAAAAATATAAAAGTGACCTTTTAGTATCTAATATATAGAGTCAATTCAATTAATCTTTCTTGTACCATAATTGATCTTAGAGTTATACAACTTATACTTAATGAAAAATGAGGAAAAATATATCAGAAATAAGAAGGAAAAACACACACACACACACACACAAAAAAGATTAAAGTTAAAATAAGAATATGGAAAGTTTTACAAATTCTGGAGAAAAAAGAAAAAGTGAATGAAGAGCTGTGAGAGAGAGAGAGAGAGAAAGAGAAAGAAGAGGTAAGATAAAGATAGAAATCTTTTGGCCCCTATTAAATCTCTATTGTTTAGGGTTTAATAATCAATACAAATAAAAACTTTATATGTCATAAACAGGGTGGAGCTAGGAATTTGATTAGGACATATTATACATGAATAATTATTTTTATCTCCCTAACTAAGGCAATATACACGAATGCAAACTTGAGAAAAAATGAAGATTTGATTGAAGAAAGATAACGATTTAAAAAAAAAAAGTGAAGAAGAAAAAGTAGAGTAAAAAGGAAAAGAAGTAAAGAAAATATTGTCAACTGGTGTTCCAACAATTGGGCGGGAACTAGAGGATCTTTTATCCTCCATAGGTTGATCTTCACGGCATGTATCTACTTCATTTGGATGGAGAGAAATGATAGGGCCTACAAAGGAAAATCTTCTTCATCTGAGGCCATTTTATCAATGATAAGAAGAGCCATCCGAAATAAATTGGCTTCCCTCAAGATACTTAATTCAGGTTTTATCAAACATGCAACATCCCCGGATGTTGTTGAAGCTCATCCTTGAAAGCAAATTAGGCCACTTTTTGGGTTCCTCTTTCTTGTGGCTTTTGTTTTGTTATTTTGATTATGCCTATTGTAACGAGTGGGCGCTTGTCCATTTACCCAAAAGCTCGAACTATTGGGTAGTACTGCATACCCACCCATTTATACCCAATCACTTTCCCATCCGATTCCGATGTGGAACAAATGACCCTTGTTACATTCTCCCCCACCCAAATTCGCAATGCCCTCGTTGCGGTTCGGGCCACCCTGCCTACCCGGGATGCTAGCCCGGAAGCCTTCCGGGCCGGGTGCTTGGCGTGACACCGGATCAAGGATTGGGTCTGGCTCTGATACCAACTGTAACGGGTGGGCGCTTGCCCATTTACCCAAAAGCTCAAACTATTGGGTAGTGCTGCATACCCACCCATTTATACCCAATCACTTTTCTATCCGATTCCGATGTGGGACAAATGACCCTTGTTACACCTATCCAGTAGGCTAGTTGTACCTGCAGGGGCATGTCCCTGTAGTACGTGGCTATGTGCCTTGTTTGCTGAGCTCGTATTTCTCTTTCTTTTATTTCTCATATATATAATACTTACCCATTACATAAAAATAAAAAATAATAAAATAATAAAAAAAAAATGGTCAGAAGATAGAGGGAGGTATTTTAGAAAAATATAATTTTAGGGAGGCATTGTGTAAAAATTATATACATCATATTCATATAAACATGCAATAGTCAAAATTTTAATGTGCCAGCATGGGCTCAGGCTCTGAGAAAAATCCTAGCAGTAAGACACAGAGACAGACAACAGAAATAAAAAGAAGAAAAAGTGAGAAGTTGCTTTTAATAAAGTAGCAATAACTGAACAAGTTGGAGCCAGGAATGAAAATTACATATGCGAAGCTAATGGTACATTAATTATAAAAGGATGATATGATACTACTCTAAAAGCTGGTATTATTGCCTAAGTGCATGCTTACCCCTAAACTACCAAAACATAATGTAGTAGTAAATGTCCCAAAACAACTTTAAATTTGATAATTATCCATCCAAAAATCCGGGGAATAAAGAAAAAAGTGAAAGAGGCTCCGGAATAAAGAAAAAAAAAAGGGAAAGAGGGTGCCTGACCTACTCAAAAGGGGAATGATTAATTAATAAAGTGGAGTGGTTTCATTTGGAAAAAGGTAAATCGACTGGTGGGCATCACGCATGAGTCACTGACTTGGACTTGACTTCAAGTACTGTCCCAAGCCAAGAAATGATATTATACCCTTATCAAATAATTAAACCTAAGGAAAAAACTATTTGTGGTCGGTTAGGGGTGCATGATACCTTGTACTGATCAGGGGACATTTGTTTGATTGTCATACTTAAATTGAAATATGCTGGCCTAGAGGAAATATTAGACAGTTGATAAAAGCTTCTTTAACAAAAGTGGCAACTAAGCGTACAACAAAAATGAAACGAAAAGAAGAGAAAGTGAGGAATTGCTTTTATTAAAGTCGGAATAACAAAACAGGTTGGGTCAAGAAGGAACGAGAACCATTCATATAATATCCGAAGCACATGATTCAATTATAAAAGGATGCAACCTAAGTGTACATGATTGTTGAAAGAATAGAGTGGTGAATTGTAGGTGTTGGAGGAGTAAGTAATAATTAAAACGGTGGTTACAATATTATTTGTGAAGAAAGGGTACAGGTGGTGTTTATTAGCATTCCTGGTAGTAATACTGGGTTTTGACACAAATATTAATACTCGTAGCATGTTTATACAAAAATACTATAAGAAAAATTAAAAATTATAATCGTGTCGATATTGTATTAAACATGATACTCGTGTTAAGACATGATTAATTATCAACCACCGATTCATAATGTGATTTTAATTTGTCGCCCAGGCCATGGATTGTAATCATGAAATTATTACTAAAAGCATTTTCATTTGAGAAACACACACAAATGATATATGTACTTTATTTCAGCCAGTGCTCAGCTCTAAACCACAAAACATTTTTTTTTTTTTTTTTTGGAATTTAAAGCAACTGAATTAATTGATAAAAATTACAAAGGAGGGCCATAGGCCAAACAAGCCCATGGGGTAGAAAGGGCTTAGCCCAAGAACCAGAACCCAGATAACAGACGAAAGATCCGTTAATGAGGGTTAAACAACAAGCTACAATCCGGTGAGCAGAAAATTTTGCCGGAGCAATACCGGCCAAAAATTAATCAGGAGGTCTTGGTAGCGGACGACAAGAGGAGGGAGACAGGTTCCAGTCCTTGAGAATCCTCCTTGAAGACGCACAGTCACGTAATTTCAGAATTGAGGTGATCAAATTACAAATTCGAGTAAGCACTGATCTTTGCGAGGATTTCTTCCCTTTGAAGATTCGTTCATTTCTCTCTTCCCATGTATATTAATACACAACTATGGGGAACAAAGAAAATAGTGAAAAGGGTGACTGACCCACTCAATAGGATGATTAATACTGGAGTAGTAAATAAAGTGGTTTCATGTGAAAAATAGTACTAAATCGACAGGTGTGTATCACGAGTGGACTGACTTGGACTAAATCAAATTTTTTTCCCTATAAAACATAGTTCATGATTAAGTTGTGGTTGGTTAGTGGTGCGTGATAGCTTCATCTCTGGGGCAATCGAGTTTGATTGCCATACTAAAATTTAAGGGTTAAATGCTATCACACATCCTCAGATTTCAGTTTATTGCACTCGTACTAAAATTTAAATGTCATAAATGAATGCAGAAGAAAGTTTTAAGGGGAACGGAAAAAAAAAAAAAAAAAAAAAAATGATTGATTGAAGAAAGAGACTGCAAATTTATTTTTATTGAATAAAAAAAATGAAGAAGAAAAAGTAAAGTAATAAAGGAGAATAAGTATTCCTCCGCTCTAATTTAGTTGTTCATATTTTCTTTTTGGTTGTCCCAAAACACTTTTAAAGTTAAAACAATTTTTTTCCCACCTTTTCATAAAAATCCTTGAAGTTTTAAATAATTCTATACTTAGACTACATCTATATTCAAACTAAAAAGGTAATATAGTAATTTTCAAAAGAAACATTACAATTATTACATATATCCTTAAAAAGTTCTACTCTCCAATAGACATCTAATACTGGACTGAGGGAGTAAGAAATAGAGAGATTTAAAAAAAAAAGAAAAAGATAATTTTAGGGGGTGGGGGCATTATGTAAAAATTACATACATCATATTCACATAAATAGTACTTGAATTTTTAATGTGCCAGCAACCCATATTTATAGCCAATATTACAAGAAGCAACCCATATTTATAGCCAAAGCTTATGCCTTAGCCACCACACATAGTGCACCATTAACCTAGTGCACAAATTAGTTCACCATTTACATAATGCACATAATATAGTGGACACGATATGTGTGTGTGTGTATATATATATTATACAATACTCCCATTTAGGGTCCATTATGGTACGTTAAGAATATGCCTCGTTAAAATCTGATTAGGAAAAACCCAGCGAGAAAAATCACTAACGAGAAAAAAGAGTACAATATTCTTGTGGATCTGAAAATAGTATTGCATAGGTTAAAATTGTTTCATTAAAACCTTGTCAGAAAAACTAGTTGGATAAAACCTAAGCGAAGAAAAAAAAGTATAAGAGCAATTTAGTGCTCCCCTCATTTGTATAATTATTGTATTACTTCAAAAATTTTGCGATCAACTACTCCCCCTCACAAGCTTGCTTTAAAGTAATTCCCATAGTTTCTTACACTTGATATACACACCAATAATTTAATGGATATATATAATTTTTTTACTATGCATCTCCCTCAACTACAAGTAACATTATAAAAATTTTAATTTTAAAGTATTCTACTATTTAGTGTTTTTGGCTCATCGTCATAGCTGGGACTGGTAGAAGACATCAATTATATAGGCTGTAGGAGAAAGCTTGCAGCTATTATTAAAGTTTCGTAATACAAATAATAATAATTATACCGTGTTGATGTTAAAATTTCTTGATAAGATTTATAATCGTACCAATTTATATAACATAATAATCATGCAAGGCACCGACACAAGCAAAAATAATTACGTTTTTGGCTCATCTTCATAGCTGGAACTATTTTTAGTGATTTTTGTTGTGTGTATCACGTTTAATTGGGCCTACTTACTTTATGTAGTGTTAAAGTAGTGCCAAGTTTCCATGTCTCCATGTGGTCCTAGATTTTAAAGTAGTGCCAAGTTTCCATGTCTCCATGTGGTCCTGGATTTTAAAGTAGTGCCAAGTTTCCATGTCTCCATGTGGTCCTGGATTTTAAAGTAGTGTCACGTTTCCATGTCTCCATGTGGACCTAGTTTTTAAAAGTAAATTGCCAAATATTTTTAAAAAAAAGAAAGAAGAAGGGAGTAAATCAACAAGTGTGTATCACGATTTCAGTGATTTGGACTTGAAATTAATTACACCCTTACCAAACAGAAATAAGGAAAAAGTATAACTTAATCATACTTTTTTCTTTCAAAACAATAATATATGGATTAAGTTGTAAAATCATAATAGTATGTGGTGAATGTGCATGATTGGGATATGAAATATTAGACACTTGATAAAGCTTCTACAGGGAAAATAGCAATAAGGCATTTAGACAGAACAGAAATGACAAAAATAATTATAAAAAAAAATAATAATAAAAAATAAAACAAGTTGGGGGCAAAGAATGAGAAGCATTCAATTATAAAAGGACACTACTCTGTAAAGGCTGGCATTGATAGAGTGGTGGTGGAATTGGGTTGGAATAGGTAGGTAGTAAAATGGTGGTTACATTATTTGTGAAGAAAGGATGGTGGTGTTCATTAGCATTCCTTTTGGTAATGCTGTGCACAATTGTATGTGGAGATATCTCTCTCTCTATCTCACATAAGGAGAGCATTAGTGTCTTCTTCAACTCACACTACTCCTCCTGCAATGGTACCATTGGCCAATGCCGCGTGGACGAAGAGCTGGTGTTTCCCATGGATCCTGAAATAACCAGAAGGCTACTCCCCGGGAATGAAAAACCAGTGACTGACACGGCCCTTCTTGCACAACAAACAATCGGCGGAGGGTGTGGAAGAAAATCATACTCAATTTGCCTTCCTGGTTCAAATGGAAAACGCCCACGTGGGTGCAATACTTATGACCATTGTCGCCCAGGCTAAGACAAAATTTTAAACCCTCCTGATGCAGTCATGCATTAATTAATTATTATTGTTGTTGTTGTTGTTTTCTCCATGAGTTTGGTGGTGATGCAGTTACGCTATAACAAGAAGCAAGAGCATATGAGAGTATCAAATGGCAAATTCAAGAAACATGTAGCACTTGTCTTTCTTAATTTGTTTCTTTTAAACCAGGTATCATGTAGTGTTTTTTTAAATAATAGAATCAGTCTGCCGCCGATTCAACTGATGCTTGTTCATGTTTTTTTTTAGATTAATTTTTTTTTTTTCCTGGTAAATATGGTCTGAAGGTGTGGGTTTGTGAATTGTGGCACATGATTTAATTGATAAGAATAAGACGTTGTTCATTTTTGAATCAAACACTATTATTGATTTTGGACACATATTACCATTTACAACAAATAATTTTGCAAGAGATTTTTTTTTAAGTATTGGAACTTGTAAGGGTTCTGGCAAACTTAATAATTTAAAATTTTAATTATATGTCTCCTATTGTGTTGTGTCAAATCTTGACTCATTATTAAGCATGTTATTCATATTGAGTTACCTGTTTAATAATTGAGTTATGTTTGTATTAAAAAAAAATTCGACACAAATAATAATCGTATTGTGTTCATATCAAGATTTTTTGACAACAATTACAATCGTGCCTATCCAGTCTTATAACACCATACAGGTATAAGGTGTTGTATTTAACTTAATTGGGCAATAACAAAGCTTCCATGACCTTAAACAATTAAAAAATCTTTTTGACAAATCCTGACACGACATGAACATGATATGTTATCAAGAAATTGAATTTGAATTTGACTAAATTTGATTCACATTATAATTGTTTGAATATAAAGTGACAAACTAATTAATATTCTTTATGATTTATAAATATCGTGTTCCACCTTGACCCACCTACATTTTGTAACTCAAATAAATCCTTTTAAACTAAATGTGTACGTAAGATTGTGATGCTAATTAGTAATTAAACTCAAATTGTATACCTCCTTTATTTCATCCACTGCTCACCTCTAAAATACCACAACATATAGAATTATCCAAAACAACTTTTAAGGTTAATAATTATCCTTCCAAAGCTCTGAGGGAATAAAGGAAAAAGTTAAAGAGGCGCCGAAATAAAGAAAAAAGTGAAAAGAGGGTGCCTCACCTACTCATAAGGCAAATGATTAATTAATAAAGTAGTTTCTTGTGAAAATAAAAAATAAAAAATAAAAGTACCGGTGTGTATCATGAGGCACATTGACTTGGACTTGACTTCAGGTAATGTCACCTAAATTGAAGTGTTTACCTAATTTATTTCAAATGCTACTCTCCTCAAATGCTAATTATAACACACCAAGTCACCAAGCCTATGATTAAAATGCCATCTTTCTTTGTTGAGAAAAAAATATATATTCTGATAAATCATAACATAACCCTGAAGATTTGTTGGTCAATCTTTAAGTGACAGTTCAAAGATCCAAACAAAGTAGCTTTATTTCCTTTTGTTTTCTATCGAGTTCTAAAATCTTTATTGGTGATTTTTATCACCCCAGGATTTTAATTATGAAATTGTTAAAAAAACATTTTCATTTGGCAAAATCGAACTGAAATTGTGTATGTAGTATGAATGAAAAAGGAGGAGCAAGAGGCAAGAAGTACCATTTATGCGCTAGGGTTTGGAAGTGGAGAAAGATTTTAAACCTTAGAGCTTCTTGTTTCACAGCAGATCCAGATGGGAGGGTTTTGTGCATATAAAGGTTGGGTGTTAGAATCGGGCTGGGATCCTCTGCTGTATCCTGGTCATGTTGTCCCTGGGAACACACGTTTTGTATTAAAAAAAGTTACGAGTTTCAATTTCTTTATCTGACGCTTTCGTTCTCTCTCTCTCTCAAGATACAGCACCTTCCTCTTTTGTCTCTCCATCCTGTTTCACACTTGTGATTTTCATCTTTCCTTCTCTATCTTCTTTCTCTTCGCATGGTCATCAAATCAGATTTTACATACCTTGTACAAAACTCCTCGATCAGCCTTATGTGCAAGCGTCCTCCACTGCTTCATCTCCTGATCTAATAAATGAACATATATTCTTCTCTTACGAATGTCATTGTGATGATTTGTCCGTTTTCGACAACACCAATTGGACCACCATCCTGAAAAATTATTTAATGCACTCTTCAAAGAACTGTAAAAGCTTATAACATCATTGGAGTGTTGTTTCTGATGAAGTCTATTTTTATATTGATTGAATTGGATTTGGATTTTGACATTTTGCTATTGGAACAGGTTCGAGGAATATTAAGGGAATCTAATCACTAACTGCATGGTATATTTCTTCAAGACAACGCCATTAAATTGTGTTGCTATTTCTCAACACAACGCTCTTAAATTTAGTTTTTATTTTTCAACTCAATAACCCTTAAATTTTATTTTCAACACATTTATTTTTCAACTCAACATGTTTATTTTTTAACTCAAACACCCTTAAATCTTATTCTCAATACATTTATTCTTCAACTCAACCCTCTTAAATATTATTCTCACCACGTTTATTCTGAAATTTGTGGAGATTGCTAGGAAATGCTTGCTTCCCAGAGGATGTGAACGCCCTTCAATGACTGATGTTGTGCATGTACTCAAGCTTGCTCTGGAACTGCAGGAAACTGCTGATGTTGCATTGGAGAATGAGGTAATCAAATACTCTCTTTCTATATATTTTCAACCTAAACAATGTATAAAACTATAGGATTGACGAGATGGCTTTTGATTTAATAAAAGAATTCTTTACATCCAGTAAAAATACTATGCATAGTTCACCACAACTACATGTTTGATATAATTGCTGTAGCAATGTATGGTCTGGAACTTGGGGCTTGTATTCGCATATCTTGTCATGTTTCAAAGATCACCAAGTAGATTGATATAGACTAATATGGTTGCATGCTGGGAGGATTTGGGTCCAAATACGTGGATTCTCCAACTTGTTCATCATCTTACTCCTTCCGAGTTCTTATCAGCACTTTGTAAATATTTGATAGTATTATAAACTTGCTGTAAAGTAATCCCCGCAGTCTCTTACACTTGATATACACACCAATAATTTTATGGATATATATCAAAAAAAATTCTATGCATCTCCCTCACCTACAAGTAACAGTATAAAAATTTAAAGTATTCTTCGATTTAGTGTTTTTCGCTCATCTTTATAGCAGGGATGAGTAGAAAACATCAATTATAGTTCACACAAGTTAATCTCATCAGAGTGACATACTAACTTCATTCATCATTCTTCATCGTCTTTGCAGGACATGGAGCTCTCCGGCTCACGCTGAATAACTTGTGTTCCTGTAATACTTAATATAGATTGGATAACATCTTTTAGGGTGGATTGGTATAGTATTTTTGGATATTATTATGTGATTTCAATAATGGATGTTGGATCGAGACAATTTGTAATGTTTGGTTTGGTGCTATTAATGTATTTTTGGATAAATTGGCTTATGCTCTTGGTGTGCTATTGGAAATTCAGTATCAGGGAATGCAGTTACATTAGTTTTCTTAATGCTTATGTGAACTGTAGTTTGGGAATGTCTTGCAAGATTATCAAATAAGCTCTAGGAGAAAACTTGAAGCTACTATTAGAGACCCTTTCTTGGGTTTTGCCATACTATATCTATTGAGATGAATGGTTGAGTTTTGATTTTCAGATTCTTTAGCGAGAGAGAAGTGAAAATTTTATTGAGGTTCTGTTATTTGCAAAGGTACCTTTCTGGATCCTTTAATCACCAACATTTTAGATTCAATGCATTTAACACCTTAACCAGGTAGGGCTTCAAAGTTGTAGACATGTTCAAATTCAGCTATGGTGTCTTTTTAGACTCAAACTGCTCTATGATTCTCTCTGTACTCAGCATTGGAATAGACATAACTTTCAGTAGATTCAATTAACTAACAAATTTTTTTTTTTTTTTTTTGAATGGTACTAAGAAAAGATATTCATTGCCACAAATGCTTGCGTGGGCAGCCGAATGAACGGCCTACAATGGCTGAAGTGGTCACAAGACTCAAATTAATTGTATTGGAGTTGCAGGGGAGCGTCAACTCTTATACAGCCGAATTTCATATGAGTTGTTGAAATAATTAATTTTCAGGAATATTATACGATGAAATTTTGGTACAAATAGCATTTTGATCCTAAGGTAATTTTTATTAAAGAATTGGAACTTATCTAGCTAAGAAATGGCAATAAGAAAGTCATCCATGACTTTAAATGGTGAAGATATTTTTTCCATGACTAATTTTGAATGGAAAGCTCAAACACGCTTCCATTCCCTGTCTTGAGGGTTCTTAGAGGAGTGCTACAAAAGGTCGTATAACTGTTTTCCCATCATCGTTCTCGCCATGTATATATTTTTAACCAAAATAATGCTTAGGTATTTAACAGATAGCATACTAACTGGTGAAGTAAAATAAAGAGCCTGTGAGGGTACCCAGAAATTGGCTGTTAAAACCCATTCCAACTTCATGAACACTCTATTAGACTAAACTTTTTAATCCATAAAAAATTTAAAATATTCAATCAGCCAATTAAATTGAAGTGTTTACCTAATTTATTTCAAATGCTACTCTCCTCAAGCGGTAATTATCACACACCAAGCCTGTGACTAAAATGTTCCCTGGTGAAAAAATTTGTTCTGATGGACAAATTATAACATAACCCTGAAGATTTGTTGGTCAATCTTTGATTCACAGTTCAAAGATCCAAACAAAGTAAATTTATTACCTTTTGTTTTCCATCTAGTACTAAAACCTTTATTAGTGATTTTTATCACCGAGGATTTAAATTTTTTATGAAGAAATTGTTAAATAGTAGCATTTTCATTCGGCAGAAACAACCTCAAATTGTGTATGTAGTATGTACTTCATTTGACTCACCACTAAACCACAAAAAATATAGTATATATGAAAAACCTGTTTCTTACTCTATTCTTGTAGATGCATTACTAGTAACCTTAAACAATATATTATTAAGGAATAAGTAAAGCACGGAATGAAGATTTCAAAGCAAAGCATGAAATGAAAAGTAATATGCAAGTAAGAATTAAAAGGGGGAGAAAGAGGCAAGCAGGACCATTTTATTTAATATACTAACCTATCTTTCAAATTTCTCCAGTAAATAAGCATTCAGTGAACAAGTTGCTTCAAGGAATTGATCAGCTGCATGTTAAATTGGATTTTTGGAAGCTCATTTCCAGACCTAAAACTCAAGGGCGTTTAGGCACTTCAAAAATTGGAACCCTAATTCGACAAGAATTCTAACAAGTCTATATTGGCAAAGTAGATTAGAACGTACCTCATCAACAACCGAAGCTTCTGAGATGTTCGAATTCCCCATAGATCTGCTAGGGCTTGGAACTGAAGAAAGACTTTAAACCTAGAGCTTCTGCTAAGGCTTTGTTTGGAAGGAGAAGTATCAAAGCAATGTACAACCAGAATTCCCTTGATTGTTAAGGGCGGAATTGTTTCGTTTTTAGGATTTCTTTGATGCTATTCTATTGGTTTTAAGAGAGAAAATAATAAACTTCACGAATTACCTTATTGACCGATGCAACTAAGAAGAATTGATTTAAGTATCTTGAAAAGAATTTTATAATTTTTGAAAGTCAATAAGAATTTTTGTTGGGCTTTTATCCATTAATGTAATTTCAAAAATAGTTCTATTTTAAGAGTTCTCTTTGTAAAATGTAGTTGACAAATAATTTGTAAGTTTTTCTTGATGTTGTATGATCATAGGATGCATTTGCATATGCATATTTAGTTCTTAAATTTTGAAAAAATCTCAATTTACAATTACCATTTAAAATTTAACTTTTAGAAATTTCAATACTCAATTTTACCATGAAGTACCTGTTCTTCTCATAAACTTAAAGTTCTTAAGAATTTTTGTTGTATTTTATTTATTGATGTAATTACAAAAATAGTACTCTTTTAAGAGTTCTCTTTGTAAAATGGAGTGACGAATAATTTGTAAGATCATCTGTGATGATTGTGTGTGTGTGTGTGAATATATATATATATATATGTATTGTAAATATAATGTGTCATAATAGATTTATACAAAAAAATTTAACTATTTATTTTTAGCTCTGACCTGCAGTCTTATACATTTTGTGTAAAAATATATCTGTCAATAACATGCAATCACATGTCATGTCCAAAATTCTATATAATTTTTATAAGAAAAATGATAGGTCTTTCGACGTTAATTGTCGACTATTCTTACGAATATAACGTGGTTGGATTCCATTGGAACTCTTAAAAAAATTCCCGTAAGCATCTCTTTTTCTTCCACTCATTCCCAACCACGTTATATTCGGACGAGTAATCAGTAATTGAAGTCGGAAGGTTTATCACTTCTCTTTTTATAAACCTACTTAATATAGGGTTAATTAGTTAATAAAATGAGAAACAAGGGGGAAAGAGAAAATATGATATATGGCTGTGTAAAAGGATTATGCAAAATACACAATAATTTTACACATTGATGCGGTGACATTGTATCTTAATATATTGCTAGAGATAAAAAATAATAATAATAATAAAAAAGTTTTATAAGTTGTGAATGTTTTACACAAAAGGGTTTAACACATTCTTGGAGATGCTCTAAGGTTTCCTTTGTACGATCATTGGATATATATGCATATGCATATTTAGTTCTTAAAATTTGAAAAAATCTCAATTTACAATTACCATTTAAAATTTAGCTTTTAGAAATTTTAGTACTCAATTTCCTAAAAGTTATGTCTACCACCTCTTGAAGTTTTGGTAAATTTCGCTTGCTCAGCAGGTAATCAACGAAAGTTTAGACAATGACCTTGAGGTTCTAAATGACATGTTTGCCCTTTAAAATTTTATTCCATTAATTCAAAAAGTATTTGGCCTGTTAAATGACTAAACTATACCTCATCAATTTGTGTTAGAAATATAACATATACAATTAACATAGGGGAGTAATGCAATGAACTCGAAAAATAATTTCGAGTATGAAAAATTCGGAATGTGGGACTCACCTGGGACTTCCCAACCTAAAAATATGAAAAATGCTAGCATGGCTCAAAATCGATCCTAAACTGAATACCGAAAGTAATAAAAAAAAATTTAAAAAAAATTCGCCTTGAACTCCGCTAAAATGGACCTACAACAACCTATTTAACAAAAAAAAAAAAAAAAAAAAAAAAAAAAAAAAAAAAAAAAAAGCATTTCAAGATTTATCCAACCTGCCCCAACACACAATATAAAAGAAGTATGATGCATTTCCCAATACCACAACATCAACAACCTTCCCAAATTAGTCCATCATCGTCATCCCCTTCAACTTAAGTATTTACATGGTCTTAGTTTACAACAAAAATAAAAGTATCTTAGTTATGTTACAGGGCCATGATTTGCAAAAATAAATACTCTTTTACATAGTTTGAGACAATACAAAAAAAATGGGCTAGGATATAAAAGATAACAAAATACAACTCCTAATCTTCTTCAAGCTTGCGGGGGATTGTCATCCGCCACTTCTTTTCCGAGCCCTGAAAAATGTTAAATAATAGGGGTGAACAAAATTGCTCAGTAGGTAGTGCCTAAGGCACACCTCTTGAGACCCCGTGAATCCACACAATGAATAGGAATAAGGAAATTAGGATCATACCATGCCGGGAGTAAGAGTATAACTACGATACCACATCATTAATCCAACACAACAAATAAATATGCCATGCACTGAAATGTCGTGCCTTGCAATGTTACTCCCCATTTTCCCAAAACCATTTCCATTATCATTTCCAAACCGTTAGTGAACCTGTCCCATGGCAACTTCATGGCAGCACATGAGGAGGATTGGCCACTGTCCCTGACCTATGACAACTCCATGGCGTCATTTGGGGCTCAGGTAACTCACCAAAATCTAAGAGATTGTGGATTAAACACTCCTACCTCAACTTAAGCCAAAAGCCCCAATTTTCACCTCAAACCCTCAAAATGGGTCAAGATTTTCAGACTCCTTAGGTTGCTCAAATCTGAAATTGTTGGTACACACGTGTAGAGCTCGCCATACTCTCCATTTTACCGCAAACGGCACTTAAAAACACTAAGAAATGAGAGAGAAATCAACAATGGAAGTTTGAAGTGAAAAAGAAAAAAAAGAAAAAAAAAAAAAAAAAAAAAAAACCCGAGAGGAAGACAGAGACGGGAGAGAGAAAGGATGGGAAAACAGAGACCAAACGTGGTCTCATAATACTTAAACAAGTTGTGGGTCCCACCCACTTTTGAATTTTTTTTTTTTTTGCCTTTAAATTCACACCACACACACACACAATTACATATATATATATATATATATATATATATATATATATATATATATATATATATATACATAACACAGACATTACATTATACCCAACTTTAAAAGATTTCGTCCCCGAAATCAAGACATACCTGAGGAAGAAAACAACGCTGGGTACTTAGAGCGAACCTCCTGTTCGAACTCCCAAGTAGCCTCCTCGACTCCGTGGTGTCTCCAAAGAACTTTCACCATGGGTATCGTCTTATTTCTCAACACCTTCTGTTGTGTGTCAATGATCTTAATTGGTCCCTCCTCGTAGGAAACATCCTCATCAATGTCCACATCAACCCAACTCAAAATGTGAGATGAATCCGGCTCATACTTCCGTAACATCGACACACGGAAAACATTGTGGACTCTGTCCATCTGTGGTGGTAAAGCAAATCTGTTGGCAACCTCTCCTACACGGTCCAAAATCTCAAATTGTCCAATGAATCGTGGCGACAACTTGCCACTCTTCCCGAATCTCATCAAACCCTTCCGTGGAAAAACTCGAAGAAAAACGTGGTCTCCCACCTCAAAGGATAATGGCCGTTTCCGCTTATCCGCATAACTCTTCTATCGGCTCTGAGTTGTAAGTAACCTCTGTCTGATCAGCTTAATCTTCTCGGTAGTCTCGAATACTATGTCGGGTCCTAAGGTGGCGGTCTCGCCTACCTCAGTCCAACAAACTGGAGATCTACAGGGTATGCCATACAAGGCCTCAAATGCCAAATGGAGCCATCTCAATGCTCGCCTGATAACTGTTGTTGTAAGCAAACTCAATAAGCGAAAGGTGATCCTCCCAACTACCTCCCAAATCAAGTACACATGCCTGAAGCATATCCTCCAAAATCTGGATAGTACACTCCGACTGGTCGTCTGTCTGTGGGTGGAATGCCGTACTAAGATGCAACGCTGAACCAAACGCTGCTTGAAGTCTTTCCCAGAACTTTGAAGTGAACTTGGCATCCCTATCTAAGATAATAGTTACTGAAACTCCATGCAACCTAATGATCTCCTTCACATAAAGTACACCAAGCTTATCTGCATCATCTGTTGCCTTAATAGGCAAAAAGTGAGCCGTCTTGGTCAACCTGTCAATGATGACCCATACAGCTTCATTGCCCCTCCATGACCTTGGAAAACCTGTCACAAAATCCATAGCAATATGTTCCCATATTATAGCATAACCCTAAAGATTTGTTGGTCAATCTTTGATTCACAGTTCAAAGATCTAAACTAAGTAAATTTATTACCTTTTGTTTTCCATCGAGTACTAAAACCTTTATTAGTGATTTTTATCACCGAGGATTTAAATTTTTTTTATCAAGAAATTGTTACATAGTAGCATTTTCATTCGGCAGAAACAACCTCAAATTGTGTGTGTAGTATGTACTTCATTTGACTCACCACTGAACCACAAAAAATATAGTATATATGAAAAACCTGTTTCTTAATCTATTCTTGTAGATGCATTACTAGTAACCTTAAACAATATATTATTAAGGAATAAGTAAAGTACGGAATGAAGATTTCAAAGCAAAGCATGAAATGAAAAGTAATATGCAAGTAAGAATTAAAAAGGGGAGAAAGAGGCAAGCAGGACCATTTATTTAATATACTAACCTAACTTTCTAATTTCTCCAGTAAATAAGCATTCAGTGAACAAGTAGCTTCAAGGAATTGATTAGCTGCATGTTAAATTGGATTTTTGGAAGCTCATTTGCAGACCTAAAACTCAAGGGCGTTTAGGCATTTCAAAAATTGGAACCCTAATTCGACAAGAATTCTAATAAGTCTATATTGGCAAAGTAGATTAGAACGTACCTTATCAAGAACCGAAGCTTCTGAGACGTTCGAATTCCCCATAGATCTGCTAGGGCTTGGAACTGGAGAAAGACTTCAAACCTTAGAGCTTCTGCTAAGGCTTTGTTTGGAAGGAGAAGTATCAAAGCAATGTACAACCAGAATTCCCTTGATTGTTAAGGGCGAAATTGTTTCGTTTTTAGGATTCTTTGATGCTATTCTATTGGTTTTAAGAGAGAAAATAATATACTTCATGAATTACCTTATTGACCGATGTAGCTAAGAAGAATTGATTGAAGTATCTTGAAAATAATTTTATAATTTTTGAAAGATAATAAGAACTTTTGTTGGACTTTTATCCATTAATGTAATTTCAAAAATAGTTCTCTTTTAAGAGTTCTCTTTGTAAAATGTAGTTGACAAATAATTTGTGAGTTTTTCTTGATGTTGTAAGATCATCGGATGCATTTGCATATGCATATTTAGTTCTTAAAATTTGAAAAAATCTCAATTTACAATTACCATTTAAAATTTAACTTCTAAAAATTTTAATACTCAATTTTACTGTGAAGTACCACTGGAACATATTCTTCTCGTAA